GAAAGGACAGGTTTTCTGTTCCTGCAAAGGTCTGAAACACAGATTTTCTGGTCGAATGGCAGAGATGATACTATTTTGGCAGAGATACTGTTTTGGCAGAGACAGATTTCCAAATCCTCTGCAAGCTGCTCTCTTGCTGGGGAGACGGGAGTCGTTTCATGAGTTTCCATCACAGAAAACAGATTCACTCAGGGCTGCATGCGTGTACCTGGCCGTGCTGGGCGAGTAGGGCTTTGCTCTGGTGTAACATCCCGAGCTGCGGCCAGTCCCTGTTAGGGAGGATGAGGATGAGGAAAATAAGGAGGAGAATGCAGATGAGGAGGAGGACTCTACCGGAGAGCTGAGTTCCCCTTCACAGGTGTGATACCCAGCGCGCTGTGGGCAGGGGGAGCCTGTGGCCGGCTCCCAAGGGCTGGTGGGCACAGCATGGGGGCACAGGGTGCTCGTGGAGCTGCTCCCCCTCTCACCACTTGGCCGGGCAGGGGACACCCACTCCACCCAGACTCGGTTCAGGCCCAAGCAAGGCTACTGTGAACCCATTAAAATGAAGCCCTCAGCAGCCTCCTCATCTTTTACCACACAGAGTAAAAATGCAACACATCCTCATATAGTAAAGGGCCTTTCCTCGTGGCAGCAACACTGCAGGGTGAAAAAAATTCAGCCCGAACAGACACAGTGTGCTCAGTATAGTAGGGGAGTGTGGCTGTGACAATATTATGTGTAATCTCACATGGCAAACTTGTGAAAAGCAGACAAGTAGACTGGAAAGCAACGTGGCAGGTGCCTGTGATGCTGGAGCTGGTATGAGAAGTGTTCAAATAGCATAACTCAGGTTCTGGGAATGACACTGCAGGTCAGAGTGCCCAAACACAGCTGTTTCCCACCTGGCCATAAGCAATGCCTATGCCATTAATGGATGGATGTGGGCTCGCTGAGGTGTACTTCTAGCATCCCTGTCTCCTATGTGGGACTATAGGCTTCTAGCTTGGGTGTTGTGAATCACTGCCTGGAGGAGCTAATGTCTCCACTGACTGCTGGTGGGGGAGAGGCCTCAGCACCTAGCTGAAAGGCATGGTGGTGGGATTATTCCAAACATTGGATCAGGTAAACTTAGTCTGTTCTCTTCTGAATATGCAAAGGAACTAACTTAATGAACTTCTGAAAACTGTGTCTTTTTACCTTTTAGACTTACAGCACTAAAGACAGGTTCATTGGAAAGGCACTTGTAAGTTGTGGTAACATAAACCAGAACCAGACCTGAATGTCTTCCTTTACTTTTCCAGGTGTTACCATTAGGCACTTCTTGATGTTTGCCCACTGACTTTGCTCCCACAGAGATCAAGCTTGTTACCTCTGTTTGTAGTGAAAAATGGCATGTTCCTGAGCAGCTCAGTGGCCATCAATGCCTTTACTCACAGAGTATGGTACTACTCATGAGGAACTGGCAGACCCTGGCCCTGAATTAGTATCAGATGTTTGTGTTTCCTAGATCACGTTACTCATGCAGGGACAGCAGTGTTTGGGTTTGAGAGGAGGGGTCTCTAGAAAAGCCTGATCTGAGAAATTATACGGGTTCAGGAGGACCCCAGAGGTGGCAGAAGAGAGAATATGAGGCTCCCAGGACTATGCTTGGATTTAAATGAGACCCTGTGGTGATTTGCATTAAAAAGTATTTTGTTAATTTGACAAGTGAATTAAATACAAGCAGGCAATCCCTCTGCAGTCAGCAAATGATCCTAAGGAAAACAATCCCAAAAGTGGTCACTTGCTGAAGTTTGTCAGTCAATCAGTGACATCATCAAGAGTACAAAAAACAGATATTCTTGAGCCCAAGCCATCAGAACACTCTACCTACCTAGGGAGAGTCGCTTGGTATTTGTGGTTCCAGGATGCACCGTAGTTTGGTATTTCTGCAGAAACATTCAGAGCTTCTGGCCAAGCGTAAGAGGCTTTGCGTTCCAGAAGAGTAATGGGAGCAGGAGTGCAGCTCCCAGATGAGTGCTTTTCCTAAAGACAGTCACGCAACGGCCAAAATTGGTTTTTTTTTTTGCCTTTTGTATAAATATATTATGTAAAATATGTACTTTAAAACAATAGCTACAAATGCCCTACATTGCCTAGAGCCAATTTTCTATTGTCTTGAGTGACCTCTCATCTGAAGCATGGACTAAAGCCAGGGGAAGGCTGCAGCGTGTGCGGCACATAGAGATGGGAATGAGGGCTGGCAAGTGCAATGGCTCTCCTCTTTGCCTCCCAGTGAACACCGTTTAATTCTGTTTTTGGTTGTCAGAAGAGATTAGATATCTAAATTCTGGTATCAATAAGCAGTCTGTCTGATCACTTAGGTGCAGAAAACGCGTTTCACAGAAGAAACTGTCAGATGCATGATTAAGCCATTTGTGTATTACCACAGCGGTATAGCACATGTTTACGGAAAGTCAGCTTTCGGAAAAAGCACTTGAACAATACAAAAATAATTAAATTAACAAGAGGCCTGGGGATAAAGGATTCATTTTCCCAGCAGGCTGCCAGCAGGGATGAAGGCTGGGTTATCAGCTCCACGTAAGAGAGGTCTTTCTAGCAGAGCAGCAACACTCAGAGCTGTCCTGAGGAAGGCCCTCTCTAGGGGAACAGCACCCAAACAGAAATGTTCCTCAAAGATAAATGAAAACTAAAATCTGAATGATGGGAGGAAACCAAACAGAAAAACAGTATTGCAAAAGGGGGAGAAAAGGAATGAGCTATTATTTTAAATGCTTACCAGCGGAGGACACTTCTGTTAGATTTTGGCAGAACAAAGGAACATTGCGAAGAAAGTGAGAAAAGTGCTGCTTTTCAAAACACTTTACAGTCAACTCTGAAATCATATGTGTACATAGCCTCCAGAGGCTTGAGCAGAAGGATATGAAAATGTCTGCTGTTTTTTTTTCTCCCAGAGACAAGGGGAATATATTTTTTCTTATAGAAATAAGGGATGATGAAAGAAATTTCTGAGGAGCATTGTGGCCGCAGGTGCACTGCCCTGGGACATGCCCGTGCACAGTGGGGCAGGCTGGTGTACCTGCAGGAAAAAACAAGCCCTGTTCTGGTCCAAGGGATGAGTCCCTGCTCTCCCCCTGGCTCAGAAATAGATGGAGGAGACAGCAGCTAGGAACACTGGCACCCACAGGCTATTTGCTCTCTCATCACTTGTGAGGCTTTGGGGGGAAAAAAGCCCAAGGAGGAATCATCAAGGAGGGGCTGCTGCGGCGAGGAGCTCTGGGGAGTGCGGCTGCTGCTTACACTCAGCATCCGCTCCCTGGGGAAGAAGCCATTCCCCCCCAGCTGGCATCCTCGTTGCCTCCAGCCTTTCTGTCCCTGACTTCAGACCCAGCAACCCCCTTCCCAGTGTGTTTCTACATAGAGGATTTAAATAAGGAAACAAAAAGAAAATACGTTTGTGATGCTAATGTGAAACTCACAGCCCATGCAATGACAATTCTGCTTGTGCCTTATTTTGTCTTCCCTTACCTTTGCCTACGCATAGCAAAGGGTCCAGCTCTCCTGTGCGCTGTACAGGGACTAGTGCAATGGGACCCAGCCTCAGCTGGCTGCTCTGCTCTTCGGTAATGAAGACAATTAATAATATGAGCAAAGAAGGGGGGGTTTGCCCAGAAGGAAGAAGCCAGCGTGAGCAGAACTTGGTAAGCAACATCACAGAGGCTTGTTTCTGCAAACAGTAAGTTATAGGCTAGCACAGCTTTGTGTTTTACATAAATTTTATTGTGTTTTGGAGAAAATTGTGTACAGTCAATCAGGTTACTCCAGCAGCAGGTAGTATGTTTAGTATGTCCAGTCTGGTCTTTTTCTTTCCAGCTATTCAGCATAATTCTTAGCAGGATTTTATGCTCTAAAGGGTAACTAAAACTATCAGCATCCGTGGGGACGTCTCTTCCCATTGGGGTTAATGACATTTTTGAGAAAATTCCTAACTATATTCTGAAATTAAGAAGAGATATCCTGTGTTTTTGTGAAAATTCAATAATAGCTCTGTATCATTTCCTAGTATAAGTATCTGAAAATGTTCTCCGTAGACAAAGTGTATTGCCGGTGTTAGAGAACATTTTCTTCAACACAGAGCTTTTTAGTTGTCTTTTTATGAATAACATCTTTTATCTCAAATCTTTTTATGAATAACAGTTGAGTGTTTTTGAGTGGACAAATTTTTATTCTGAAAAGAGCTCTGGATTTGCAAGAGAAAAAAAATCCTAATGGAGCTGCAATTGCTTTAACAAAGCACATTTAAAAAAACCCTGATGGCTGAAGATTAATCATCTGACAGTGAGGAGAGTATTGCTTAAGGAAGGAGCACAGACATTGTGCTTATAAGTGCCAGCTTAAGATACTTCCATCTCCTTGTACTTTGCATCACCTCTGTGTCATGGCACACTGCTCCCAGCCTTGTGCTGGCACAAGTATCCTCTTTTTGCATTACGGTTCTGGGAGCTAAGCTGGTTTTTAGATGAAAAATAATTGGCTGAGTTATTTTCCTGGCAAAGGAGACCCCTACTCTGGTTTAAAGTGTGGCAACACCTAGGGCGGTGCCAGCAGAGCGAGGGCACGTGTGCTACGGCATGGAGGCAGGAAGAAGCAGCTGCAGAAATGCTATAAATTGGAGTGGCTGCTGAAGACTTTCTCTGAAGTCATGAGCTTACTTTCTACTTTTCTGCATCAGTTTTTAGCCAATGCTTTTTTTTCTGATATCAGTGCAGTTATATATCCATTTTCCATAGGCAGAACTCCACTGACAAGCAAACTTGTTGTTTGGGGAGTCCCTTTGCCCACAGCTATGTGCAATTTCCCCTGTAATTAAAAACAAGAACTTCAGTTCCAAATTACCTTCTTGTCTGTTACAACCCCAGATTATCATTTGTACAATTGATTATAGGCAGACCTAACATTAAAACTAGGAATTGAAAAAAGCCCTATAAAAACAGAACACAGAGTCCATATTTCAATCATTAAAAAACAAAAGGAATCAAGGCTTTCCTTGATTTTGGATAGTCCGTAAATGTCTTGAGATAGTACCTGAAAGAAAATAAGCAAGAAAATGAACCTGCATACGTACAAGGAAACTGCACAGTTTCAATACAGCTCAGCTGAGGAACCTTAAAACTCCTCCAAACCACCTTGCTTTGTAACTATCTGTGTGTTACTCTGCAAAAGAGCGTTCCAAAACTGTTTACACCAGGTTATTTCATTAAGTGAAAGCTGGTAATACTGTCAAGGTTCTAAGAGACCTAAAGTAGAAACTTAGGAATTCAGAGCAGGTGACTGTATCTACTGCAAAGGACTGCAGAGGTTGCAAGGGAGCCCTTAGGAAAGGTTCACATTTACAAGGCTCAGTAAAAAGGGGCTTTAACACGGTGGAAGCAGTGATGTAACTCATGTCGGATTAAAAGGCTGTCAGGCCCACTTGACTCAACAGGGGCTCCAGCCAACTGCCTTACTTTAACACAGTCACAAATAAGCTGATACCCTTCTTGTACATAGTATTCACTTTCAATTTTATCTTGAATCCTGGCCCTCCAAGACTGCACTCCAAGAGCAAGCTGCAGCGTATGGCAAGAAACAGTTTGATACCTGTGATGGTGATAAGCACGTGGCCCAATGCAGCAAAGAGTAAAAAAGGCAAAGGCGAAGGCTGGTAGGGACCAGGTTGCTATGGCAAAACCAAACCATTCCACAATTTCTCCAAAATAGTTGGCTCCAGAAACATAGGTGAACAGTCCCCCTGCATTGACAGACAAAATATGTAATTTTTACAGTTGTCTCATGCACACGGAAAGTTCTTTCCCATAAAGTCAGCAGCAGAATACGCTACCTTTTTATTCAGAGCCCATAACAGCAACCCAAACCTACTGTGCTGAAGCCAGTGGAGCCATGCCAAAGGAGGATCTTGAACAAGAATCAAAGGTGATTCTAACCCAGAGGCTTCCAGCACTTTCACAATCATTTTATTTTCATTTGGAAAAGGACTTAAGAAAGCCCATTATTAGATTTAAATTAAAATTATTAACATTAGTCAGTTCTCTTCAGGCCCTAAAAAGTATTTTGCAACTCCAGTGCCTTTGGGCAATGCAAAATCTGGATCTCAGTTTTGCATCTCAGCTAATCACAACATCTACAAGAGGCAGGTAAGTACTGGAGGTGAGAAGCTCTAGGGGAGAAATATTACCATCTGTAACAAGGCAGCAGAAGGAGTCGACACCAAAACCAGGAAACTCCTGGCTCTCCATCCACATTGCTCTACAGAGCTAGACATTTTCTGGTTCACCGCTGTGGCCCACGGCCACTCTTCCTCATCAAGCCCCACCTTGAAGGAGATGGAAAGGAAATTCTGCACCTTGCATCCTTGGTGTTAGTTTTTCCCCTGAAGTTTACACTTTGAATCTCCCTTTTGCAGTGTAAGTCCACTTCTTCTTCTTCCAGGGCATGGAGAAGAATATTTCCTTCTTTGCAGCTGCCTTTTACAAGGCTAAAATTCTCTTCCTATGTCCCACTTCAATCTTCGCTAAATTACCCAGCCCATTTCCTAAAACCTCTTCTCACAGCTCATGTTTTCCAGACACTCTTGCTGCATCTCGTGGACTGTCTGCAGCCAGCTCACGCTAGTCCCTGCAGCTCAGAGGGGCACCTGAAGCGAGTACCTGTACGATACTGGCATCTCTGCTATTATTGTTGCTTTGCTGTGAATTCAGTCAGAAAACATTATCTATCCTGCTGCCCTACTTTCTCCAAGGGGGTGGGGGATAAGAATATACCTTGAGGAATCTTGTAAGTGACTTCCCCAGGCTTCCTCAGCTGGCGCAGCAAGAGATCACTGTGAACGTTGATTCCCATTCCCAGCAGAAATAAGAGGAGGCCTAAGGAAAAAACAAGAAATGGATTAGAAAGACAGCTCTGCCTAGTTATCCCTACTCAAGCACATATGTGAGGTTTATCTTTGGAGCAGGCAGATAGGAGACCTAACGTGAGGTGGGTGGATTCTTCTTCAAGTCAAAAGATGCGGTGCTGCTGAGAAGGCTACTGAACAGGAGAAGCATAGGTGACTGGTAACAAATAACCCCGTGTCAGTTGTGGGATCACAGTCCTCTGGGATCACCTGCATTGGATAGCTTAAGTGTGGGGAGCAACTCTGGAGAGAACGATGGCCATCCTGAGCACACGGTTTTGTTGGTGAGACCAGAGCACTTTCAGCTGGTGTGAGAAAAAGCTGAACTTCCCAGCTGGCCATAGTCACCATTTATTGAACATCAAGGGGGGGCACAAAGTACCCAACTGACACTGCTGGCCGAGGGCAGCCAGCCACGGCTGTGGACATTACTGCAGAGTAACCACTGAGCTGTAGGCAAGTACCATTACTCTCATTTTACAGCTGGGGAAAGAGGAGCACAGATAACACAAACTTATCCAGCACATCACCAGAGCCAGGAAGGGAACCTACATCTCAGCGCAGCTCAGTCCACTGCCAGCGAGGCTGCTTCAACAGCGCTATGGGCGTGCACATGGAGCAGTTACTCGCTGAAGGATGCTGACAGCTTCTGGCCAGAATGATTCATTGACCGTACTCCATTTAGCTGAAAAACTAGAGGCATTTGATTGAGAAACTCTGCAGGTCACATGCCCTACATTTCATGCCACATTAGACACTGAGAAAACCACCTCTGACAATGATTGGGAAGCAAGGAGAGAAATAGAGGTGGTGTGTGCTACCAAGTACAGAAAAAAGACTAAGTGCTGATAAAACCTCAACACTTCCAGCAGCCACAGAAGATTGGTAAGAGTCTGTAGGGCAAGAATATACTGTTTGGTTTTTATTTAATATTTCAAGCACTTCTAATGCTGATTTGCTTTTTTTTTCATTAAACATGTATTTTATTTATCATGCAAATTATGTGACGTGGTGTTTTCTTTGCTGGGTGTGGGAGCACTTACTAAGCAATGTCCAGGATTTTTAATATCTGATGCTGTCTGAAAAGACTGAACTTGCATCCACAGTCTGAAACAGGGTACAGAAAGTACCTTGGTTACTTTGTACTTGTCATATCCAAAACATTTCCTCAGACCTCCATGTTAATCTTCATTTCTAGGTGTGCATTTAAAAAACATCCTCTGTGCATCACCAAATGTGTAATACCACCAAGGTGCTCTTGCTCAGTTATTCTCTCAGGGATTTTACAGGGTGAAATTCAGCTAGGCTATTAAGTTACAGAATATAAAGGAGCCATATTAACATACAACCAGACTGTGCGTGATCTCTAATCTTCCCATGTGCCTTACACAAGAAAAAAGGGCCCTTTGTCTCTAAAGCCTCATTTATGCTGGGGTTTTGCCCTTCTTTTCTCCCTCGGTCGGAATAGCAGCATCAAGCGCAAAGCTCCCTGGCAGGGAAGAGAAAGCCACAATTTGCACTTGCACACGGCCGCTGCTGGGCGGCCACTTCTGGCTGAGCAAGGGCACAGCCCCGTTCAGCTGAGGCCTGAGATTGCCTCTCCACAGCCTGTAGCAGCAGGAGGCTCTGGAGTGGTGTCAGTAAAACAAGGCTGCTGATTTGAGAGTACCACATAACATCGTATGCCTTCAAAGGTGGCTGCCTAGCAGAAAAAAAAAAAAAGTCACTGCACATTTATTTGTTTTATCTGAGCCAGCAGGCAGGTTTTATGCTGATTTCCATCACAACTGATTTGACTCACATGTTCAGTGAAGATTAGGACATAATTCAAAATGCTTACAAATTGCTTGGAGATTAGATCTTGGGAATCCTGCAGCTGTAATTACCTGATGTAAATCTGATGTCGGTGCACCAGTCGTTTGGATATTCAGCACAGTAAATCAGGTAGTACCCCTGGAGGAAGCCGTTATAGATACAGAATAATGTGCCAAAGAAAAGCAATTGCAGTGGGAAAGGTCTGCCTCTGGTGAAGAAGGGGTAAATAAATGTCCTAAGGTAGATAGATAAGAAAACAAAATCAGCACATTACTCATTATAACATTGTATTTGCAACTTCTCTGCTGTAGGAAAAAAGCTTTAACAAAACACAAAATATAAAAAGGTCAATAAAGATAAAAAAATGGAAAACAACTGCAACAAAATAAGATCGGCAACTAATGGGAACAAGAAATACTGTAGATACCCACATTTTCATCCAGATTCACTGCTGCCTCGGGAATGTCTCTCTGCCTTCCTTCTCCCTTTTTGGTAAAATGAGGAACTCATGCCCACAAACAGCATTTTCATTTTAAGACCTCGGTGTAATGCTGCAGGAGGCCGAGCAAAGGATGCTGTGGAGGCACATGGGCACACTGATGTTCAAACCAAAGTAGCGAGGGGCAGTACCAATTGCAATATTGATTCCCTAAACGAGTGTCACTATGCCACAAGCACTATGGAGGAGCTTTGTTACGGAGAAGACATTCCTGATCCAACTAGGAGGACATCCCTGAGCACTTTAGCCCATGGTGGCACATGGAGTTGAAGGCAATGTCGAAACCCCTCTGGCGCTCTCATCCCCTGCAGTATATAGCCTAAGCTGTAATCCCCTCTCCCAGCCTCTCCCGCTCCACTCAGAGACCTGCGCTCATCTCCAACACACAGCAGCTCTGTCCTGCTCTGCTCAGACACTCCGACGCAGAGGCAGAGCAATGTATGTTGTTGGCTGCTTCGGGGAGCTGCTTTGCCTCCAGTCCCTGCCTCTCCTCCATGCTTTCAAACTTTTCTTTAAAATAAGAAGAGCTAAAACCCTAAGTTTAATATGCTAAACACCAAGATTTCCATGCAGCTCCAGCACCAAGGGCTTCCTTAGACAGAAGCTGTGCTAACACTAGCATTAACATGTGTTGGAGCAAATAATTTGTGCTTGTATAGTTTTAATTTTCATATATCTTTGGTTCAGGTGGGTGTATCCCTCTTGACACTTTGGACAATCCATATCATCCTTGGGAGAGTGAAATGGAGAAGTTATATTCATCTTTGTTAGGTATTTTCTTACCTGGCCAATTATATTCTGTATGTGGTAAATTCTACACTCTTAATTTCTTTCTTTTGCCCTCTTGGGCTTGGGATGGTGCTCATCATACCAGTATATAAGCATTGTTGATAAGTAATCCACATCCCGGGTTGCCAATATCAATTTAAGCAAGCTGAGGCATAAAATATCATAACATTATAAATCTAGATTAAATCATACTGAGCATGTCTGAAAGTGAGTAAGCAGAGTACAAGCAACAACATGTTAATGTATTCACTGCTTTCAAAAGCAAGGTTAGATAGATTTCCAGCAATTAAGACAGTTGTGATGCAGGAGTGCTAAATATTTCTAAATATAGTGAAACCTAAGAGGTATGGAAAATATTTTTCAGACAGTGGTATCACATTTGTCTTATTTATTACAGTATGGAAATGAATACTCTTTGGAGTAATGTTGCCAATAATTATTGGTTTTGCCCTTCAGGAATGGGATGCTAGACTTACAAATAGGCAAGGCCAGCTTTAGCAATCTGACCTGCCTGTCAAAGTAATATTGGCAAATTGGACCTGAACAACTACAAGAAAAAGAGGGAAACTTGCAAATGGAAACTTGGAGAAAGCAAACTGTATAGAAGAGAGAATGATATCAAATCACACAAACTGAGTTTAGGAGGGGAATTCATACAGCAGATTGGAGTGGGACTTGCACTGCTTTATATCCTTTGTCAAAACCAGTTTTTATGTTTCAGAGTCTCTTAATTTTTACAGCTGATGCAAACAGAAGTTTCTAGGACGAGCTGGCATTTCTCAGTTCCCAGCCAAGTTGATTGTTGCCATGGTGCTTCCTGATGCTGCTGTTGCAGGATAAAGGTTATAGGCCCTTGAAAGGTGACTTATCTTGCAGTAACAGGAGGGCAAAAATCAGCCATAGACCTACCTACTATGGATGCGGTGGATGCAGGACAGAAAGAACCTGCATGCAAAGTACAAGTACAATCACAGGGGAGCCAGGAGGCATCAGCTTTTTTTTTTGTTGAGGGAGTGAAATCCTGGCATCACTGAAATCCCACCTCATAGCAGTTTTGAAAATCTAAATCAGGATTTCATCCAAGAATGTTTGTTGTGGAGCAGCTTCTCCAAGGAAATCTCCTTGGGTCTGTAAATCCAGAGGCCAGATTCGGTTCCCTGTATCTGAACAATGCCCTAAGTCTTTCTTTTAATACAGCATTTGTCAGCTTGTACTACTCGAGGGTGCACAAACTATTCCTGATGGGTTTTGAAAAAGCAATGGAGATAACGTGGGGACATTTAATAGGTTTAAATATTCCATGGAAGAGTCTGCATCTCTACTGGAATTATTTTGCAGTGTGAAAATGAAAGGGGGACTGAAGGCCACCATTTTGAAATAACAGAACAAAAACTGGCCTTTTGGATTTAGACCAATGATAAATTTGACCTTTTTCTTTCAGTGTAATATTGATGACTAATCCTTTATTATCCTTACTGGCCAAAGGCACTGCATCTGACTAAGCCATTGCCAACAGCTTCTTTTTAAACAAGTGAATAATAAATTATTCATCTTCTTCTCTGTCATTTATTTTCCAGAAGAACAGGTTTTGAAGAGAAAATCATTTGACATCATTGCATCAAATTTCATCTTAAAGGTATTAGTCCAGCTCCTTGAAAATTCCAGAGACCCTCACCCAAACAGGGGGAAACTATAGGTTTGTTTTTCTTTCCACAGAAGGTGGAAATCTTTTCACAGATGTTACCGTAATCCACTAAGAGTGGGCTCTCAGTCCTCCTTCAACAGCTTGTTAATTGGAGACGTTTATGCTGCTGCTGTGTCTTCTCCTCTCCAGAGCCCAGATGCAGTAGGTCAGATGGTAGCAGCTCATGTTTTCCAGTCTGGAAACTCCCAGTGTTTCCAGTGCTTATGAAGAGTTTTACACCTGGGACAACTGGATCCAGGGCTCAGGGCTGGCGGCTAAGAAGAAGGGGCACTTGGCTCCTTCCCACCCTGTGGGTCACCAGCCTACTGCTGTATCATCTGCCCATCTAGCCTTCTGCCACCAGGCCCTCTCCTGGGTCTAACTGGGATGAACTAGGGGCCAGGAATCGGAGATATTGCAAAGGCGGGCAGGGCTGATGTGGTCCTTCTCCCTTTGAAGGCGGGTGTTGGCCATAACCCAGCTGTCCTACCCATGCTGGGGCACTGTCTGAATGCCCTGGCCCATCCCCTGTGACCCTGGCCAGCCTCCAGAAGACAGTTATGGACTTCTCCTGACCAGGGCTGCTCTGAGTCCCTGCAGGGATTTTTCAGCTCCCCTTGGAGGATGGAGGGCAGGGCCTGCCCTGCATGCCTCGTGAGGATGAACCAACATGCTGAGTGGTGCCTGAGAACCATTTCCACATGGTCCAGGCTCCACACACTGCAGTTCCTCGCTTGTGCCACCCAGACGTACAAAATGTGAGGAGGGCTGGTGGTTCAAGTGAGGCCAGGCAGCCAGGCCCCCGCGAGGGCGATGCCTTCAGGGCCCTCGCAGCTCACGCGTACACTGAGCTGGTTCCACAGCTGGCTGGGGCCGTGCATTGGAAAACACTCCACTGAGCGGTGGATATGGGCGCAGAAGTTGCAGGGGTCACGCAGGCAGGAGAGCTGTGCCCCTTCTGCAGGGGAGACACACCTTGCTACATTGAGAGCACATGTCACAGTCCCTTTTCTCACTCCCTGAAAACTCCTTGCTGAGGTGCTGTCTGCAATTCTCACCGCTTTATTGGTACCTTCTCAACCAAAGGCCTCTCTAAGTCAGAGGACACCTCTCTAGACTCTTTGCTGCAGCTCCCTTCTTAGGGACCTGCTTTCAATTTTCTTAGTTTGCACAAATATCTGTACCCCAGGTGATAAGCAAAACTATGTGATTTGTGTTACGCTAACTACAGATCAGTTAGACCTGAAAAGACTTCCCTGCTATGAAACAGTGGAGTTCCCTTCAATCTGTCTTGTGCACAGGCTGAAAAGTTTGGTGTCCAAACCTGGGGAGATTACACCAACCTTAAACCACTTTTATTTGCACCGACAATTAACAGCATAGGAGTCTTTGGCATAGGTTGTCACTGGAATCACATTGCTGGGGAGCTGCTGGCACCCTTGGCATACCTGATCGCTTGGATGAAGGCTCAAGATGTTCACAAACATGATGAACTTCTACCTGGAGTAGCTGTGATGTCCTGCACAAAGCCTCTAATTATTCTGGAGACTTATGGATGTCAAATGACATGTCCCAAAGATATCTGCTGCTGAAGAGTCTGTGCTAAAATCTGCACGCACTTTCTCTTTCTGAGCCCAGTCCTGTAGGTTATTTGTGGATTGCACTCTGAGGCAATTTTTAGCTTTTACTATTTTTGAGTTGTGTTATACTGATTCTCATTGAATACTTACAGGAAAAGACTGTCAAGTCTATTCTCCATATATAGTCAACACCAGGGCACAATCTGGAACCTAATTTTGCTGTGCCCAATTCAAAATTTTTCAGTTATCCCAGATTGGGTTTAAACAAATGTAACAGTTAAAATGTCAGTTCGAAGCAGCAGGCAATCTTGCTATCAGTTCAAAGGCAAAGTAAAACAAAATACCCCAAAATACTTTCAAAAGCGAAACGAAGCATTTTAACCCTCCCTCATCATGACGTCCACAGATGCCCCAGCATCACGAACTGAGGTAGAGCCTCCTCACCTCTCATATTCCTCTCCTCAAACATCCTACCCTGAGATGCTTTGCCGTTCCCCACTTACTTTGCAGTAGCCCAAAAAGGTCAACAAGCCAGGAATATTTAAACAAGGAGAGCAAGGAGATTATTAACAGCCACTTGTACTGCGCAGGGTGGACCGTGTCCCTTTTACTAAGAAGGCGTGCACAGTGAGACATGTGCTGCCACAGCCTCAGGAACAAAATCTGAGCTACGACCCAGGTCA